TCATAAAGCCTAGTTTTGTGAAGTAAAAACAAAAATTTTCTAATAATAACTCAAAAATTACTTAATCCACGATTCGAAAATGTTAAACGATATTTCCTGTGATCTCCATACCACCTTAATTTATGAGATTAACGCAAGATTTTCGAATTGCGTTTGGTAGGCATAATCGACCGTTTTGGATTGAGACAGTTTATGTTTCCTGTGGTCTCCAGACAATCTAAATTGGTGAGTTTACCGCGAAATTTGCCTGGAATAATCAGAAATATCACCTCCCAGAAGGACATTTTGAGTGGCGTTTGGTCGGCATAATCGACAGTTTTGGATTGGCAGGCGGTGTTTCTCGAGGTCTCCAGAGAACGTGGTTTTGAGAAGTAAAATCATAAAATGCCCAGAAATATATCCCTCGTAAGTTGATTGAGTCTCATCTGCTCGACGCATTCGACCGTTTTGGATTGGTCGCTTGTTTTCTTGTGTTATCTTATCTAGTCAACTTAGTTTTGTGAGGTTTTAGCGCAAATCAGCTTAAATTGACCCGAAAGTGATTTTATGAGCTGCATTTGCTCGGTGTAATCGATCCCTTTGGATTGGCTGACAGAAAGGAGCTCCATAACCTCATTTTGAAGATATGGGAGGAAGAGAAAATGCCTGAGGAGTGGAAAAGAGGAATTATCTACCCACTGCACAAGAAAGGGGACCAATCAGATTGCGACAATTATCGAGGGATAGTGCTTCTCTCCTGTGCTTATAAAGTTCTGTCTAACATACTATTTGAGAGACTAGCTCCTCATGCTGAGATGGAGATAGACAAATATCAAGCAGGATTTAGGCGAGGGAGGTCCACATTGGACCAACTGTTCTCACTGAGGTTGATGCTGGAGAAATGCAAGTATAGAACAGTTACCCATCACCTCTTCATTGATTTTAAAGCCGCCTACGATAGTGTAACTCGCCCGGAGCTCTATCAGGCCCTGTTGGAAATGAACGTCCCAAGTAAACTGATTCGGCTCGTGAAAATGACGATGTCAGGCTCAAAGTGTGCAGTACGAGTAGGAGGTGACTTCTCGAAAGTCTTTCATACTAACTGTGGTGTAAGACAGGGAGGTGCTCTAGCCTGTCTTCTTTTTAACTTCGCTGCAGAGAAAGCAGTGCATATGTCTGGAATCCAACTCTACGCAACCCTTCTTAACAGTACCGTTCAGCTTCTTGGGTACGCTGACGACTTTGATATTGCCGCCAGATCGGAACATGCATTAAGAGAGTCCTTCTTGGCCATAGAAGATGCAGCAAAGAAACTTGGGCTACACATTAATGAAGCTAAGACCAAGTATATGAGGGTCGGAGGAGATGGGCCAGGGACCGGTTCTTTTGTGGCTGGAACATTTAATTTCAAAAAGGTATGCAGCTTTGTTTACCTCGGGTCTGAGGTCAACTCCGAAAACGACATCTCTAGAGAAGTCAACAGAAGGATAACAACGGCAAGACTGTGCTACTTTGGTCTTTCGAAGCATTTTGGAAGCAGGTTCCTCTCTAACAGGACCAAGATCACTCTCTACAAAACCTTGGTCCGCCCTGTTTTAACTTATGGATCAGAAGCATGGGCATTGAAGAAGCAAGAGAGATCAATCTTGAGAAGAATTTTTGGTCCTGTTAGAGAGGGTGGAATTTGGAGAAGAAGGAAAAATGCCGAACTCGCTTGTCTTTATAAGGACATAGACTTGGTGAGGTTTACTAAGATAGAACGACTTCGATGGGCCGGGCACGTAGTACGTATGGATGATTCGGCTATACCCAGGAAAATTCTGTCCGGAAAGATGCATGGACGAAGAAAGGTTGGCAGGCCAAATGTAAGATGGGAGGATTCAGTGACATCGGACGCACGGGCTCTACTGGGAGCCCGAAACTGGAGAGCTGCTGCAGCTGATCGTATCGACTGGCGAAAGCTTTTGGAGGAGGCCATCTCGGTGACGGGATGTAGCGCCATATATGTATGTATGTTTCTCGTGATCTCCAGAGAACATGGTTTTGAGAAGTAAAATCTTAAAATGCCCAGAAATATATCCCTCGTAAGTTGATTGAGTCTCATCCGCTCGACGCATTCGACCATTTTGGATTGGCCGCTTGTTTTCCTGTGTTATCTTATCTAGTCAACTTAGTTTTGTGAGGTTTTAGCGCAAATCAGCTTAAATTGACCCGAAAGTGATTTTTTGAGATGCATTTGCTCGGTGTAATCGATCCCTTTGGATTGGCTGACAATGTTTCCTGTGGTTGCCAGTCCACCTAGTTTTGTGAGGTGTAAGGTAGGATTAATTTCTGTCTGTGAATCGCGGGAAACGACTAGCTGTGAATCACAGAACCATTTTGTTGATCACAGAACCAGATAAATGCAGTGCTTACATTTCAAGTTACTCTTGACGTGATTTTTCTTGCTTCAACGATTTTGTAGTGATAACCCAATAGTTTTTGTGAAGTTACTATGCCTAGGAAGTGTGTGAATGCTCCTGACAACTTTTGTTACTTTGGTGGGGAAGTAACCTTTGCAAGTAAAAAACGTCCTATTATCCAGATCATCAAGACAGCAAGCATACTAATAGTATTTTGGAGTAAAGGTTGGTGACCAAGAAAAACCGTGGGCCCCGCACATCTGCTGCATCACATGTACCGTAACCTTGAGAGAATGGTTGAACAAGAAAGGGCGTTCAATGCGTTTTGCTGTTTACATGGTGTGGAGGGAGTCTAATCCAAGGCCTCCTGAACACTATGACTTGAATGAGGATGAGGATAATAAGAGAAAAATCCCCTAGGAGGAACCCCATCGGATGATTCTGATTTTCTTTAGGACAAGAAGAACGAAAACCCCACTTGCTTACTTAAGCTGAACTCAGTGACTTGCTTCTCGGAACCTGGATCTTGCCAAAGAGAAAGCAGAACTTTTGGGTTCAGGATTGAAGCAATGGAACTTCTTGCAACCTAGTTTAAAGATTACAATGTACAGAAATCGTCAGAAAGACTTGATCCCATTTTTCAAAAAGTATGGGAACCTTGTTGCCTGTTGTGATGTCCAGGTCCGATGACAGCATTAAATCTCTATCACAACCCTTCTGAATGGAGGCTGTTCATAGATTCATCAAAGCTATCCCTCAAGGCAGTTCAGTTGCATAATGGCAATTTACTTCCCTCTATCCCAATTGGCCATGTTTCCACGTGTAGGAGACTTATCAAAATATGGAAACCCTTCTAAAACCCATCAAAACCAGGACTACCAATGGCAAATCTGTGGGGACCTGAAAGTGGTGGCAATTCTTCTAGGCATGTAACAGGGATGTACTAAGTGCTGTTGTTTTTTATGTGAGTGGGGCAGTCGGGACAGAGAATCTCATTATATCAGAATAGAATGGTCTCAAAGAGAAGTCTTGACCCCTGTACAAAAAAATGTTCTCTACGACCTTCTTGGGGACCCTGAAAAAATCATTTTGCTTCCACTATATATAAAGTTCGGGCTCATGAAAAATTTTGTCAAAGAAATGGACCGATCAGGAGAGGCATTCAAGTACTTGAGAGGGTTAACATGGGAGTGTATTTTTTGGTCCACAAATCGGTGAGCTTTTTAATGACGAGCAATTTTGTAATATTCTTTAGGGTAAAGACAGAGCAGAGTGGGAACCATTTATAGCTTTAGTTAATGGTTTCTTGGGTAACAAAAGAGAGGACAATTATGCTGTCTTACTCCAAACCCTCCTTGAGAAGTACAGAGATCTCGGTTGTAACATGTCACTGAAGATTCAGTTTCTTCACTCTCATTTGGACTTCTTTCCCGAAAATTGTGGATCTGTAAGTGACGAACATGGTGAGCAATTTTACCAAGATATATTCTCGATGGAACGAAGATATCAAGGTCGGTAGGATAGTTCAATGCTCGCAGACTACTGTTGGAACGTTGTGAGGGATTTGCCAGAACATCAGTACAATTGTCAGGCAAAGAAGAAACGTTATAAATAAATTGTACAACAGTGCTGTTCTTGCCGAGAGAAGTTATTATTTATTGTTTTGTGGGTTGTAAAAGTATTTCACAAACAATAAAGTACTTTTAAAGTGTATAAAATGATCGTGTAACTTCCAATTATCACAAATTTTTGTATTCGATACTGGGTATACGTATCTGCAGAACGGTAGCTAATATATGGATTCTGACAGAAAGAACAAGTTTCCCACTCCAAAATTAGTCAAGAGAAACTGTTATCATCGAAGATACACCAAAAAAATGTTTTGTAGAGCAGTGGAATTTGCGGCGGTGATAGTAGCAAACGGTGTCCTAGGCAGGAAATGTTCAGTGTTGTTCAACTCTAACTGTGACGAAATAACAATTTGTTCTCGTTATAAGCAATAATAAAAACTATTAACAGCGACAAGAGTGTCAACCTATTTTACGTAATTTTTTATACAATTTGGCTTATACCAAGATCAAAACGATAAATCAAGAGATTTATTAATTTAAATAATCCAGAAAATTTGATTCAGGAAGATATTTGTCGACAACCAAACTAATAGCATCTCAGAAATAATAAAAAGTAAATATTTGCTAAATTGATTAGATTGTGAAATATTTATTTACTCCCTGAGACAAGTTTTGCAAACATTTAAGAAAGATGATCCGCTGAAGATTTTAAGTAATGTTGTTGATATATAACGCTTGAGGTGGGTGTTTAAAAATTATGTTAAAACGTTGTGTATAGAATGCATTCATTATTTGTTGGTATGTTTGTTACCAATATTTTTTTAGTAAAAGTATTGGCTTTTTAAATAACTTTTTAATTTTTAAATTAAAATATATAATGTTGGCTTATCGGAAGTTTAAAAACCAATATTGTGGATTAAAAAATAGTTATAGATTATTCTGTGATTGCTTTTTAAACGTGATACGATTATTTTTGAAAAGTAAGTTATATTATCTATGAAGTTATTATCATCATGTATCGACATTGAAGTGCTCTCTTGTCGACCAACTTAACAATAAAATATGTTCCCACTTTACGATGTTATCAATTACACCTGCAACAGTTCACCTTGAAATGGAACAAATAGTTAACTGCGTTTTAGTAACGACCTTGTAAATGCAAGTGTTTTCTAGGAATCTGGTTACTCTCATTTCTACTGTCAAACGAGTTTTCCACGATAGATTTATCGCTTTATCAATTTCTTTTTTTCCTACAAAAAGTGTTAGTCTTAAGTTGCTTCGAAAGTGCGTTTTTTTGCATAGTATTATCTTTGAAAAAATTTTAATGGGCTTGCAATAAATGAGTTAGAGGCGGTGTCATTGCATATAATTATGTAAGAACTTATCTTATCAAGTTCTGTTTAGTTGTTAGGACAATTATTCCATTTAAAACGCAGGGAAGCACTTGTAAGTACAAAGTAGATTTTGTGATTGTTTTTATTAAGTATATCTACTCATGCCACTTAACATTTATCTGAGATTATCTCGATGCATTGACGTGTTATTAACGTTTGTGTCTGTAATGAGTTTTGTGTCATTAAACAGTATTTTTTAAAAGTAATTGATGTTGAAGTCGGTTTAAGACCAAAGTAACCTTCTAGTGTGATGGGATAATATATTTATGAAAGTGTTTTGTTTTTAATTTATAAAGTATTTTTACATAAGTGATCAGATGTTGGAATTTTGTGATGTCTACTGTACAGTATATGCCTCTGGTAAGTTTTAAGTGGCTTTTGTTTATGTAACAAGCAACTTAATTGAAATATATAACATAGTAATTAAAATTAATGTTATTTCTTTGATCTGGTAAATCAATTGTTTTTGTTGTAATTTACATTATCTTCCCTTGGTTTTATGTTATCCGGCAAATAGTTTCATAGTACCCCCGTTACTTGTCTCATTACTTAAAAAACATGACTTACATATATCTTCTTCGATGTTTATGGTATACGTATGGTACATTGTCAGTCTACTTTTTGTTTTTCTGGTGATTGTAAACTTTAGATTAGCTACGATTTATCTTTTTGGTATCTATGGAAGCTATGTTCTGTGATTTGTTACACAATTAAAGTATGGATACTGACTACTAAATTTATTTGACATACAGCCTAAATAAGTTATATTGAAACATTATTTCCATTAATATTACATCAGAATATATGATCTAAGATTCTCATAAAGGATTTACATCAGAATTTATCCCTAAGAAAGTTCAAAAGAAATTTATAACACTTATTGAAATGTCATATTTAAACTATTATTACAGTTAATGTATCATTTCTACACATTATTTAGTAAGTGAATATTCACATCCTGTTAAAATTATAGATAAATTTTGGAATATTTTATTAAAATATAATTTTAATGTTTTTTTTTATTTCTGAACTCACCGATGGCATAAAATTCTGTAAACTGGACCAATGCCATTGATGAGCTCAGAGGTGAGTTTAGGTACATGCCCTATATTTGATATTTTTTGTGAGCAAGAAATTTTGTTAGAAGTTGATACAATGTAATTTTTTCATTATTATCCTCAAATTACTAGATGAACTACATAAGTATTTTAAATTGAAATACTAAATTACTATTATTCAGTAGTAAATAATAAATTACTAGTACATTAAAGTAGTAATTGAAATTTGTTTTTTCTTCAGAATAGTGTATACAGGTTGTTTATTTGGAACTGTGGCTAAACTATGCTGATGAAGCATTGAAAAATTTATATTTAAACAATGGTGTGGAGATAATTGACTGTAATTATAATTTGAGAAGAAGTTGGTTAGGGGTGCGGTCAATATAAATAATATTATATCTTATTATAGCATTTTTATTGTATTTTCCAATTTTTCGAACTACGTTGTAGATATTCTTCAGGGCTTCTCATCTGGCACTGCGGGAAGCAGTTGGGAAACTGATAATCTGAGGTTTGGTAAGGTAGAAGTGTGAGTTCATGAGATAGTTAAAAAGGGACTGGAGTGGTTGTCAAAGTTATAGCTTGTCTTTTGTCGGAAAAGTGCAGGTAGATGAAATAAGAAAAGGCCTTTATTTCTTTAATGATTACTATTGATAGCTATGTAAATTGATTCAAGTATTAATTTAGTCGACAGGCGCAAATAAATTTTTAATAGCCAAAAAAAAATTATTCATAAGGAGATGGTTGACCGTAGATTCTAATAAAAAAAAGTTAATAATAAAAAAAAACCTGTACCACTACAACCCATGAAGGGTCTTGGGTTCAGTACTATTTAGGGAAAGTACTGCTTCTAGGTCAACGGTTGTGCAGGGAAGAGAGTGGGCCAGAATCACACTCAGCCTTCAGGTTTGCATCCTTAATTAAATATTTTAATTAATGGTACCCACTTTGTAGAGGCTGGGTATGGCCCAGGAGGGTCTCCTTACCCCAGGGTCATCCCACGGCCGATGAAACAAAATAAATAACTTTTCTGCTATGAGTCGGGAATCGAATCTGGGACCTTGGGCATTGGAAGTTGAGTGCCCTACACTGAGCTACCTCACTCCCCAATAATTAATGAAAAATTAAAATTAGTAAGTGCAGGCTCTACTCGACTGCTTAGACTACTACGGCACAGGTTCAATTCCTGCATGGAGATAGTAATATCCCCACCCTGAGATTCATGTGGAGGTGAGCGATCCCTGTGTCTTACACCTACACCTGGTCCTGCAGGTTGGGGGTTGGGTATAAGACTGATAATCCCCTATCCCATAAAAAAAATTTGGGTGGAAGATAGAAGCAAAAGATTGCCAACCATCTTTCCGGAAAGTTCCTGATGAAGAGGGATTGAAATCTGATTGCGTCCAGTTAGTAAACCATGTGCTCCCTGGATATCTAGAAGAAGAAGAGAGAACTAAACCATCGCTATTGTCTCCTATAACAGCCCCAAGTTGCTCAAGAAGTCTCATGATTTAAAAGTCGAAGTCAACAGGCGTTAAAAAAAAAAAAATATTGTAAATGGCGGCTTTGTTGTAGAGAATTATAATAGAGATGATAATAAATATCACGCTCAAATAAAAATAATGAAAGCTTAGTGAAACCAAAGTTTCAATGCCAATACCATCAATCTCAGTCTATATGCTCCCATTCAAGGACTTCGCATGAGTTTTTGGCGCTTGGGACGAAATTATATCAGGCACCCTTTGCCCTCACATCCCTCGAATTCGGCCAGTAGTATATTATCTCATGTTTACGGGTTATATTTATTTTACATAATTAGGGCAACCATGGAGAGAGTTGACTTCATTAGAAGTAATTTTTTCTAAAGATTTAGGATATGAGATATGCTCCCAATAGCTCCCAATAATCTGCTCGAGATAGCTTCCATGATTTTAGGCAATGTTCCGATTGACGATCATGCTAGGGAACTATCACTATAGGAAGAAGGAATGGGATGATAACCAGAGCGAGGAGGAGTGGAGAAATAGAAATAGGGGGGGGGTGCTGCCCAAATGATTAATGTTAAGAAGATTGATAAGTGATGTATTATTAGCTATTGCTTCGATCAACTTATTAAAAATAAATACTTTATCATTTCGGTCATCAATTTGTACACAAACATCTTTTTTATCTTTAACAGCATTATAAAATGTCATTTGCGTTGATAGCAGATGTAATAGATGGTCTTTTTTTTTTTTTTTTTTCAGCAATGTATGTTATTTTTTCAGCTTCCTGAATACCTCTTATTTCTTTTTCTTTAACATATATTGGACATTTTTTTTTTTTTTAAAGAGTCGTAATCATCCTAGGAAATAAGGTACTTAACTGAGCTAGTGCATTCTGACCGTTTGTGTTTTATTTTTCCACAATATTTACTCAACGGATCTTATTCAATAATCTTGTTCAATATCACAAACTGTTTTAGGGTGCCCAAATTTAAAACAGACACAATATCAGGTGGGATTTGAAATGAATTGCCTTACGACATTATAGAATCCTATTGTAAGTTCTTTAGGTAAAGTTGGATTGTCAAACGTTATAAGGTAATTGTGGCTATTATTTGTTTCCATTATTTTTAAAATATGTCATTATTTTAACCTCTACAACACTCAGTGGTTTCAATTCTTCTTTTATTTCTCCAATCAAGCAAAAATTTAAGTCTGGGCATAATATAACGCCCTTACTTATGTTTAATTAAAAGTGAGGCTCCACCTTAACTGGGAAATGATCTAACAAGTTTTCACATATTAAAAGCCTCTCAGACTGTTTTTCTGAAAAAAACCTCTACTAAAAGTATACCGTCTTTCAATTTTTTATCTACTTATCCATCACCAATAATATTTTTTAGATTTTTATATATGAAAAAAGGAGCACCTTTTTAAAATCTTGAATATTTCCTTCTCTATTCTTATAATAAAAAACCTAAAACAACTGTTCTTAATGCTTCCATTACTCCCCATAATAATGAAAGTTTAAAAAAAAAATTATACCTTCTAGAACAAAAATAAAATGAGAAATGTTGAATAAAAATAAAAGGTAAGTTGCACTTATCAGTTGTCTAGCTTAATCCTCTGCAGTTTCAATACACACATATCTTCACTCCTCGAGATCTAAACACCAACTCCTCACAAATATGGAGTTATTGTCAAAGTTGAGTATGTGATTTGAGGATAAAGTTTGTTCAGAAAGTTTAGAGATGGTGTGGTTTCTGGAAAAATTGAATATTACTGTTGGGTAATACGAACTTTAAAGTTTTTGGTTTCCCCAATATAACAGGAGTTACAATTGGGGATGGGACAAGGAATGCGATATATGAAATTTGAGCGATGTTGGAGAGGGATGCGGTCTTTTAAGTGGATCAAGATATTAGAAAGTTTTTGTGGTTTTTAAAATTAACTTGTAGATTGGGGATAGAGGAATGTAAATTTGATCAGAAAGGGAATGTTATAAGGAAAGGGGAGGATATAAGGTAGGGATCTAAATAAAGGTATTAAGGGTAGATTATAAGATATTTTATTATATATGGCATAATAATATAATGTAAAGGCATAATAACACCCCTGACTAACTTCATATCAAATTATATGTACATACTATTGATTGTCTCCATTAAAATGAAATATTCGAATCTAATTTCCTGGTTAACATTTTTCCATTGATAATAGCCCATGATGGAGTTACCAGAGGATGGGAGAGCAGAAAAACCCAGCAGAATTTCAGATGAATCAACGGGCCTTACATCTCCGGCTCAAGATGAGAAAGTCATCATTCCAGAAGCTGACTGTGTACGTAGTTATACTACATTATTACTAATTACTATCTATAATTTGTATTATTTAAATTCCGTCTGTTAATTCCAAAAAAAGTTGTGTTGATTTCTCACAAATAATACTAGATAGTATTTAATACTTTTTTGTAAAGGATTATCAAAACATTTGTATGTGATAACTTATGTCTAAATCTAAGCTTCAGAGGATTTGGTTGCAGACTGCTATGGAATAAACATCTTGGTTTACTTTCGCAAGAAATTTTATTACTTTACTGTTTATATTAAAAAAATAAATATTGGGAACCAGAAAATAAATTAAATTAAATAAAGATAATAAAATTAATAAATTATAATTAATAAACAGAGAAAAATCTTATGCTTTATTTATTTATTTTTTGTCTGTTTTTAAGTTTTATTTTGGGGAAAATATTGTTTTTTATAGTGAAACATTTCTATCAATATATTTTTTCGCCATGAAACTTTAGGAAGTTGTTTGTTGCATACACTCCCACAAAGGTTTCTGGCATAGTACTTCTGTCTTACGATAATTTTATATATATAAAAAAAATAAAAATGTAAATGTTTTTTGTTCAAACCGCTAATCTCAGAAAGTTCTTCACCGATTACTTTGAAATTTTGACACTACATTGCAATTGAATTCATAAGTGTTTTTTGAACATTTCATTACCACCCGGCCATCGAAATGGCGATTATTTTTTTTCTTTTATTTTTTTTGTTTCAATTGTTGAGGATATGGATATGAAATATGTAAAGCAGTGAACATATGGCAAGGCGTGGTAAATTTATATTATAATTTTGAGATTATAAGTTTCCTACCTTCTAAGTATTCTGCATACCTGAATTAGTATACTAGGAATATTATCAGTTCTCGCTGCTATGTAAGGTTTTAATTTTCCGATGGTCATTTCAACTTCCCTTTTACTTGGTTCTTCTATTAATGGTTAAGTACTCCTATACTTTAAGAAAATAGACCATTATTTGGAGCTGCTCTCCAGACTACCCACCTTCTGACTAACATTTTGTTAAACATCTGAGCCACTTAGTATAATAAGGTAAAAATTTTATTGATTAAAATTCGTTAGAAAATGCAATTTCTGAATTACTTAATACTAACATTTCAACGTTCTATTCAGAGGTTATGGAAAATTTACCAACATGTTGGCAGAAGCAGATCGAGAGTAGTTAAATTTTGATTAATAAAGATAGTTTTGTAAAATTTATTTTATTTTAATACTACAAACCTCCATTAATTAATGGACAACCCAATATTTATTAATTAGCAAATTATTCAAAACGTCAAACAAGGATAGAAACTTAAATTTTAGTTGAGTACGCCTAAAACCATGTTAGTGTTACAAACAAAAAATCCGCATGAAAATGATAAAAATATGACAAAGCTCCATGATCGTATATAGGCTTAAGAAGTTAGGTTCATTAGAAATCTGGATACCGGGTATATAAGGTCTCAGAGTTTGAAATTTGTTTGGCACATTTCGGAAATATTTGTAATCCTTGTCATGACAACTTTATATGGGTAGAAGTAAATTCACTACATAAACATGCTAGTAAGTGTAAAATTATTGTATAAAAAAAGTTTTTTATTTACTAAAGGGTAGGATAATAAAGGTAAAAACAAATGTGAAAACATGAGACTTATTTTTCTTAATGGTTTCCTCTTCTACTGCTGAGCAGTGTAAGGAGCCTTTTTGTAGAGCCGAATTCACAACTTTCGATCCTGAGCCAACTGCCGCCTCCTCCTCCAGTCAATATCCCTTCTGTCAAAGGCCTCCTTGACACTGACCTCCCAAGTCTTCCTGGGCCTTCCCTGAGGTCTTCTTCCCTCAACTTTCTTTTCTAACGCCATCCTGGTTACTCGATTCTCTGCCATTGGAGAGACATGGCCAAACTGTCTCTAAACGATTTTCCTCTATCACAGTTTTGGCTGGTCTTATGTTATCTCTCTTTGTTTTTCCTTCGACCCTATGCAGAAATCACATCTCCATGGCCTGAATCTGACTGATATGTTTTGTGGTGAGGGTCCATGACTCGCTGGAGTAGGTCATTATCGGGAGGAAAGTATTTTTGTACATAGTCGTTTTGGTCTTGCTCACTTCTCTCTTATTCAAGAATCCTTTCTTGATGGTATTGAAGCACCTTCCTGCAGACTTCACTCTTTTCTTTATTTCTCCTTCGATCCATCCATGTTCATTGATGTGGGCACCGAGGTATTTAAAATTTTTCACTTGTTTCAATGGAACTTCACTCAAGTGTACTATTCTGTCTCCTCTTCCTTGATAGTTTTTTTTCCCCCACATTTATTTGCATATTTATCTTATTTAATTCTTCCTAAAGAATGCAGAGGTTGAATTGTAGGTTTCGTCCATTGCTTCCGGAAACCACTAAATTGTCTGTATAAGTGAACAGAGAGAAAAATACAGGCTGTAGATTTCTGTATCCCATTTGATATGATCTGATATTTTGTTATGCTATTTTTGTTGCATTGTCCAGCTCTAGTGTAATTAGCAGAGGACTTCTGTACCCTTTGCCTAATACCTTGATTAGTTGTGAACTCTTCTGATATATTATTACATGTTCTCACAACATTTCTTTGAGTCTTATAGAGACTTAAGTTGCCTTACAAAGGCCCGTTTTGATGCCTTTATCTTCTAAGGTTTTTGCTACATAGGTTCAAGATTCGTTCTCCTGAGTCGTTGAGGTGTTCTTCACCATTTCTTCTTGAGGTTCCCTGCCATACTTTGTCGTCATTGCCAACCCTGCCATTTAAGTCTTCCATAATAATAGGGGTTCCATCGCTATCGTCTATTTCTCTTTGCAATGTCTCAAAGAACATGACTTTTCTGTGACAGGTCCATTGTTATTTGGTCCATAGGCAACAAGCAGTATGTAAAGTTTGTTGTCCCATAAGAATTTGATAGATAGTAATCTGTAATTTATAGCTTTCTATTCTGTTATGAACTTGAATATGTCTTTGTGGAATATGCAAGCTACCCCGCTCTTAGCATGCTCAATGACATTCACTCCTGAGTATACTAATACAAAATCTCCGATTTGCTCCTCCCCTATTCCTTTCTTTTTGGTTTCTATAATTTGGTTCACCCAATGTGGCGATTCCTGCTTTCTTTATTTCCTCCACCAGCTCGACTTCCTTTTGTTTAATACCTTTAACATTCCATGTTCCGAATCGAATAATCTTTTTTCCGTGCCATGTCTTAATCCTAGAAAACTGATCGGCTCTATACTCTGTAGTTTATTTCATAAGGTGAGTCTTGGGCAAGTAAGTTATGGGCCTACTGTGGCCAGTGCCTGATGGAGGGATTGCCTCCTTTAGAGCTTTCAGACCAGCTCTCTCATTACTTCACAGGAAAGATGTTATACCACCGCTACTGACCTGAGATGGTGTTTCATTCCTAAGAATACACCCATTCAGGCTATAATGGGACTCTCCTCCTTTACCAGGGCTTGGGACCTGCAACTATATCTAGCTGGCGGAGTTCATGAAAACATGAGGCTCAATAGATAAAACTTTATTTTCCCTTTCAAACTAGTTTGAACATTTTCTCAATTACTTTTATTAAGGATTATTATGCATTTCAAGGAATTAATAACTTGGACATTGCAAGTTACTATCTGTGTTGTCATCTTATTTAATTATGTTTGTGCAGCTATTGTTGGATACATTTTCGCCCTTATGTTTTACTGAAACCAAGTGGAATAAGTAACTAAATTATGTTTTGTATTGAAGAGAAGTAGTTTGAGGTGCCATAATTGGGTGTCATAGAATAAACTATTCTACCCACATTTATTTATTCTACCTATATGTTATTAGACTAATAGTCCATGCTACAGACTCCTTTTTATCAAATTATTAACATCCTCCTAAAATTTCGTAAATAGCGTCATCTCATTGTAACCTACAAATATTTTATTTACTAAAATTCTTGGAATTGAGGCATTTTCAATCTGGAGATCTGCTTACTTTGTCTATTTAATTTGTTACTAAAAACCCATGAACTCCCATTTGCTTTCCACTTGAATCATAAAATAATATAATTACAAAATAGAAAAAAAAAAGGTGGTCTACAAAAATATTGGACCAATTGGCCTATATGACCACGTCATTTTGGAGATGGAGGTCACGCCGAACAGTCCAATATTTTTGTAGGCCACCTTTTTTTTTTTTTTTTTTTTCGATTTTGTGACAATATTATCTTATGATTTAAGTGGAAAGCAAATGGATATTCATGAGATTTAAGTATCTGATTAAATAAGCTCTAATAGAATTTATTAAAATTCTAAGAATTTTTGAAAATAAAATATTTGTAGGTTACGATGAGATGAAGTTATTGATAAGTTATAAGTGGATGTTAATAATTTGATAAAAATGGGTCTGTATCACTGACGGACTATATAACTTTTACCTAAATATTATTCTATTACCATGTACTAGTTTCTCATATCTATGTTATCTTGTCTTTTCTTAACCCTGATGAAGGCGTGAACCTTGGGCCGAAACATTGGCAAAAATAAAAATAAATATAATTTCTTTATTTTTGCTTTTTTACTTGTATGACTGAACACCCCAACCAAATTCTCTTCAATATATATATAAAGCAATCAATTATTAATCCACTATTATGTTTTTTATGTTTTTCCCCTTCACTATACACAATAGTCTCCTCCTCTTTATGCTTCAATCTCTCGTCCACTTAGATTTTTGGAAATTGGTCAGTCCTATCCATGAATGAATTTATTAATGTTGTTATGATCTTAGGTCCATCAAATGAAATATGTTTCTCTTGATAGCAGCACATTTTTCATTTAAAAATATGTCAGCAAATATATCTTAAATAATAAATAATATAAGATGAATGATATTATTCGTTTTTTTCATTCAAAGATTAAATAGAGAGTGTTTGGTTATAATTTTCATTTATTTTTTTTCCTTCACAAATAGGTAGGTGATATTAATAAGTTGTATTTAAAATTTCTACTTATATGGCTATTGAAACAAAATTGTAACTTGATAATTTTACAGAACAAATTCAGCTTCCATAAATTATGGGCATTCACCGGTCCTGGATTCTTGATGAGTATTGCTTACCTTGATCCTGGAAACATACAAAGTGATTTGAAATCTGGTACAACAGCTAAGTACAAGGTAACCTTGTTTTTATTTATACATTTTACTTAGTGTGTTAATATTTTCAAATTGGTTGATTCACGTTATTAATCAAGAAAGAAAATTATTCAAGATATCAGGTATAAAACATGCTTTATTTAAATTAAAATTACAAAATCTCTACAATGTATGTTCAATAATAAAATATTAAATCAATTCAGAAAAACAAAACTTTTGTTCAAGCTTGTTTAAAATTTAGAAGCATTTTTAGTAAATGTGTCCAGATGAAGTTAAATAACTATTTTTATTTATAATGACACCATTTTTTAAAACAATATTCATCATTTTAAATAAAGTCATTCACATTTAGTTGTCTTTTAACTAAATGTTGTAATTTCTTCATTTGGACAATGGCTTCAATGATTGTAGGCATTGATTTCTTCATTATCTTTAGGGTTTTCTTCTTCTTTATCTGTAGACAGCAGAGAGAGTTGGCACTGTGTCCCAAAAACCATGATAATTTCGGACTTTTTTATTTTTGCTAAATATCTCCTTTTTAATATTGTAAAGTCTAAAAATGGTTATATTCAATCTTGAACAACTTGAAATTATCTAACAGTTTTGCATAAAAAATTTATCGAGTGTATATAAAAAGACCGCCTTGTTACTATATTTAATTGGCAAACAAGGCAGGGTTATTTTCAATTCATTTAATATAAGTGAAGACTCTGTTATATATACTGTTTTAGGTTAAAAAAAAAAAAAAAAAAATTCAACACATTTCACTCAGATCAGGATATTGTAGCTTTCGGTTTCCGTGCACCATATTCATCTCTTTGTCTATTTTTAAATATACAAGATGTCAGCTTGACTTCTCCGAGAATAGGACTCCTCTTTGTCAGACACTTAGCACACCATCCTACAAAGTAGTTTGTAGTTTGTTTACGAAGGTCCTGTGATGTCATTTTGTGTAGTTTGTTTGGCCCTAAATTCCTGCTAAATTTCTTGTAGATAGCTAAAGTCGTATTGAAGTTATAACATTTTTTGTGATTTTTGAAAAAAATATGTGAGGGACCCAAACATTAAACCTGAAAACATAGCCAAGCTTGCTCAAATGGTTTTCTTTGCCTTGTGCACGACACATTTAGGGCCATAGCAATCTTTCGCACTGATTAGGTGGGATTTTGATCAAAAATGGTCTTATCATTGTTCGTTTCAATTTCATGTGGGTGACCAGACTGTTGAGCATGATTGATGTCAAAATTTCCTGAATGAAATTTGGCAAACCAATTTTGACAGGTGTGTTCGGTTAAGGCATCATCCCCATAAACACTGCAAATTTTTCTATGAGCTTCTGCAGCACGCTTACCTTTTTTAAAATAATACAATAAAATATGCCGATAATGAATGATATTTTCTTCCATATTAACAGTGCAATAGCAAACATAATACTAAGCTAGTTTCTACAAGAGTTAACAGATATAGTTGTTGGCATATTACAAAAAGGATAAACAATCCACCTTAGGGATTAATTCATCAGATAACAAGTGTATCATAGTGATATAAAAATTAACAGAGAAACCGAAAGGACTTATTTTCCAGCCCAATATATTGCCAGTTTCATCCCAAACTTGACAGAAGAAACATCAGTCCTATGAGATCTAACAAAACCAAGTACCCGGTGATAATGGCGACCTCATCACCAAACAGCTTTTGAACGACTCAAGGCATTGATTACGCAAGCACCTGTTTTGGCGCATTTTGATGTCAAAGCTCCAATGTGTTGACAATGGATTTGTCTAGTGCCGTAGGGGCAGCAATACTTCAGAACAGAAAGCCTATTGCATATTCCTCTAAGATGTTATCACCAGCTCAACAAAATTATGCCTAAATAGAAAAGGAGTTATACGCAGTGGTAGATGGCTGCACTAAATTTAGACAACACATTTGGGGACAAAACCATTACAGTAGAAACAGACTATTGGTTTCGATTTGCAAGAGATCATTAGTTAAAGTCCCAGTCAGATTACAGCATATGCTGCTCCAGTTGTTATGTTATGATATAGAATTAGTGCATAGGCCTGGAAAATACATGTTTATTGCTGATGAACTTTCTAGCGGATGGGCAAACTTCAAATCTGAAGCTGCTCTGCTGGCAAAGCTATATTAGAGTTTCCCAGAGGAAATAAATATTATTGACAGCCTGTTATGCCAGAATGAAATGAAATGAAAATAGATTTTTATTATCCTGGGACTTTGTTCCTTTAGGACAAATTATAGATACAGAGGAAATGCCTGTTTGGCCATAAAATTAGATTAATTATTTACAATGCTCGTTAAAATAAAAATATTGGAAGAAAAATAAAACAAAATCAAAAACACTAAATACATTCAGATATATATAATACAAACATGTGAAAATAAAATAACATAATAAAACAAAATCATTTCTGGGGGAACTTAAAAAGTTCTCTTATCTACTTTTCATGATCAATCGGGTTGGGAAAGAAGTAGGTGCTTAAAAAGAGAGATTTAAATGAGGAAACTGATTGCGTATGTTGGATATTGGGAGGGATGGTATTTCAGATGGAGACGGCTTGAATTATAAAGGATTTGTCAAATGCAGCAGTTCGGTGAGAAGGTGGATAGAGGTCAGAAGTACGGGATCTAGTGGGACGGGATTGAATGGAATATTTAAATTGTAGGCTGTGAAAAATATAGGAAGGTCTCTGAGTTCTGATGGCTTGGTATAGAAAGGTAGCAAGGAAGTACAGACAGCGGTTGGATGGATAAAGCCACTTCAACTTGGTGTAATACTGGGTTCTATGCGTATCTCTTGAGATTCTGAAAACAAAACATATTGGGCAGTTCATCGGGCGTTTAAAATTTGTCCTCAAATTCTCCCAAGAGTCCGCCGTACATCAGACAGCCATAGTCGAAGTGGGGGGACACAAGGGAGGAAACCAGGAGTTGTCGAGATTTATATGGAATGAGATAGCGGAGACGGTTAAACTGTTTCAGGGTAGAGATAGTACTACGGGAAATTTGGGGGATGTGTGGTTTCCAGGAGAGGGTTTGATCTAAGGTGACACCAAGGTTTTTTACAGAAGTATGGAATGAGATAGGTGAGTTGTTCAGGAAAAGATTGGGGAGTGTCGGTAAGGATTTGAGGAGTGAGGGAGTTCCGATCAGGGTGGCTTTCGTCTTCTCGGAGTTTTGAGTGATTCTATTGTGGTTTGCCCTGGCACAAATTCCGTCTATATCTTCCTGTAGTTTTTGGATGACGTCAGAGGATTCGTTCAGATTAAAGGAAAGGTAAATCTGGACGTTGTCGGCATACAGATGGTATTGACAGTGTAGGATAAAGGATGGAAGGTCAGTGATGTAGATGGAAAAAAGGGTGGGAGATAAGGAGGAGCCTTGTGGGACACCTCTGGACAAGGGTAAAGATTCTGATGGGGGGTTATTGCGAATTACAACATATTGGAATCATTAAGAGTTGATGGATTGGAAGTCTTCTTCATAGAGTGAACTAGTGCCGTTTTCCAGGATGTAGGGAAGGTAGCGTTTTGTAGTGAGTAATTGTAGATATGGTAGAGGATTGGAAGGATGGATGGTAGTAGGCTTTGATCAGTCTAACTGGGATGTTATCGGGTCAATAATCATTGGTTTGTGATTTCTGAATGGAGTTGAGGAGGTCATCAGGTGTAATATGGGAAAAAAAGAAGTGATTAAAATTAAGAGGGAAACTCATAGGAGCCGATATGGTCGCAGGAGGTGAGGATGAAAAGGAACCTGAGACAAAGTGAGCGTTAAGGTCATCGGCAGAAAAGGAAATGAGCTGGGTTTGAGGTGTGTTACAAATGGTCAGTTTTTTTAGGATAGTCCATTTGGCCTTGGAGTTTGGGGTGTTGGATAAGGAATGATAGAAATAACGGGATTTGGCTCGGCGTATAGCAGACTGGGTGCTGTTTTGAAGTTGCTTGAAGGTCATGCAGTCTTCCGGGAGTTGGGTGCGCTTAAACCGCCGGCTTGGAGCATCTCTTCTTCTCATGCACTCTCTCAGAGCGGGTGTCAGCCAAGCAGCAGGGGGATGTCGGATAGTTTTAGTTAGGAGAGGAGCATGGCAATCGAGGATGGCATGAAGATGGTTGGTAATTATTTATACCATGACGTCAATGGATTTTAAGGAATAAATGGGATCCCACTGGACCGGAATGTAGAAAATTTGGAGAAGATCATGGGAAGACAGAAATTGAACCGAGACATTGTGAAGAGCTTATCCAGGGAATCCAAGATAAACAGATCATACAAACAGATCCAAGATAAACGGAGAAAATGATTTTGTCCGTTTTACACCTTTGGAAAAAGCCCTGATGAAGTCCTGAACTTCAGGTCGAAACGTTCGCAAATGTCAAAATAAATATTATCATTTATTTTTGCCTTCTTATTTGACTGATCACCCCAACTATTCTTCTCTTCATTATTCACGACAGTCAACCATTTACCCACAATTAAAAAATAATGAATACTGATTTTCTAGTTGAGAATTAAAAAAAAATACAATTTATTAAACGAAGGGTTTACCTCTATAGCAAAAAAAAACACAACATTTATGTGAATTAAAATGTCTAAAAGACTAAAACTTACACTGTTCTTATTAACATAAATAAAATATATTAAATTAAAAGCAGAAAAATCTTAATCTAGAAAATAAAAATAAAAAAGGGCAAATACAGTAATGAAAAATAAAATATGCAGCGTAATGAAACATGCAAGGTCTTGTCATGTGAATATGTCCAGTTCTGATGGCGAGTTAATCACGACAACCTGCTGGCTGTCATCTCGTCGACATTTCACTTTTCCCGCATTGAACCAGATGTATCTGACCTTCTCTGCAGACCTCTTCTGTCGGGCTAACCAATATAGGTGTCGGTTGGTTAGGGACATTGCCTCACTTATATATATTTTGTGAACATCATTCTCCTGCCATCCCAGGTGACGAGTTGAGAAGTCCCGTATAACCTTCCGCCTTTGGACCAACTCGTCCCTGAGCGGCTGTCTGACGAATCTCACCAGAAGCAGGGTGTATCATCCTGCCTCGATATCATCCGCTCTACGCAGTCGATATCTTCTGGCTTTAAGTTCAGGTCCAGGCCAGCCCTCATGCCCATCATCAAGCCCATGGTTGTTTCCCCAGACCACACCGGGACTTCCCTTATTTCAATCGACTTGGATAGTTGCATTTGCTCGGTCCTATTGAGTCTAGTTTCTAGCTTCGACCTGAGTATCGCATTTTCCATCTTTAGTCCTTCCAATTTCGAATTTTGGGTTCCAGAAGGGTCTCTATTGCTTTTAATATTTCCGTGTTTTCAAATGTTATAGCGGTCTCCTTCTCCAGCGTTATCTTTAACTCCTTTGCCTCATTGGCATTAGCATCTAGGGCAAATTTTAATCCTTTTATCTCTGCCATTAGGTCTTAGATGGCAGTCATGAGCAGCTGAGACGCGGCGTCAGAGGCAGTTGGTTTCTGAGAAGCTGATCTTCCTGGGCTAGAGCACTTATCGCTACTTTTTTGGGCTTTTACACAATTTGAGCATGCCCAATACTTCCGTGATACCCTTAATTTTCAATTTCACCTTCGTCTGTGATAGGGCATTTGCCATGTAAATTAGTTTGACATGTAGAGATAGACCATGTCAGAGTTTTCTTGTCCTCTCTGGCAACTGTCTGTCCGCATATTGGGCATGAAACCATCTTGTCTGATAAAAATAGTGTAAAATAAAAAAAATTTAAAAAACAATTTCTTTGCTTTATCGCTTTAAAAAGGGAATATTTAGTGTAAACCGAAAAAAAGTAAAGATTTCCATGATTTTTGGGGCATTGTGACGAACCCTCAATTCTGTCAATGCAGAAAACTAGGATTTTTTACATTCATTATACACCTAACTATATGAAAATAAATATGAATTACCAGATGTTTTGTGTGAATTTATCTGGGCTGATGTTTTTTTTTTTTTCAAAAGTTTGTTGTAATAACTTTTTTTTTGATTGTTATATTTTTTTTTTTTATGTATTCATGCTTCATAAATCTGATTTTGTTATTACTATTTTATCAGTTAAAATTATTATATTATTTCCTTTCTAGGGATTAATTATTTTATAAATTAATCTAATACGTATAATGGAGAAATCATCCTGAAAACAGATACATAAATTAGGAACAAACAAAGAATAAATGATAAATAGTATATTTAGTTATTTATTGGTTTATTTATGGTACTAAAAAACATTTTTCAAATAGTTACTATGGGTTCTGATGTGGTCAACAGTTCTTGGACTAGTCATGCAGAGACTATCCGCTCGGTTGGGAGTAGTTACTGGACTACATCTTGCTGAGATGTGTTATCGACAATATAGATTATTACCAAGAGTGTTTCTTTGGCTGATGATGGAGGTGGCCATCATAGGAAGTGATATGCAAGAAGTCATAGGCACTGCAATTGCACTGTATCTACTTAGTAATACCAAGTAAGTCCTACCATTTTGCGCCTCTCTATTATGTGATTATATTAAAAATACATGTATTAGGGAAAAAGGAAGTCCAAAACTGATTTGGTTATCTGGGAAGTGTGGTTTTTAATTATTAGTGTTGAAAATGTTTATGTATTAGGTCATTTTTCTTTCTTCAGACAAATATTGGATCATTAACTAAATAATAGTTAAGATTCATGTACCATCAATCACTATAGTTTATTATTTACCATTATCAGTTTTATAATATTATATCTCTGATTGTATTTTAAAAATTTCAGCCCTGATGACCAACATGTTGGTTGAATCGATGGCACAAATAAAATAAAAAAATGTTTATAATGACTGCATCCTGAATATTTATCATCCATTATATGTAGTTGTTTAAGTCATCTATTTTTTGAAGTGCAGACATTTAAGGCATCATATTCAACCAAAAACTTTGATGAGATGTCATCGATTTTTTTATTTCTTAACCCTTGATTTATAAAACCTGGTTAATAGAAGAGATTATGTGAATTTTAATTTTAAGTGAAGAGTTGGTGAATTTTAATTTCAATTAAATTCAATTATTGTTTGAATGATATATTTTAAAAATTAAATATGATTGAAAGAAACTAGAAGCAATTTGGACTAACTGTAGTTCTGTTAATCACTCAGCAATTTTGTTTTATTTTAATCCTCTTCTGGGTCGACGTTCTCAGTGTGGTCTATGTCATCTTCGTTCATGGGTTACCCTTGATTAAATAGCTGCTGTTGTATTTTCCAGATGCTCAATGTCTTTTTTTTTTTCTTTTTTTTTTTTTTTAATGAATGCTTAGAATGCTATATTTCTCGCTTATACTACCTTTTCTTTCCTTATGTCAACAGTGTAGAATTTGCATATATCTCCAGCCTGATGGTTAGCCTAAATAGCTTGCCTTCTCTCTTTGAAGAATTTCTTGTTGGTCGACCTCAAATTCTTGGCAGCATTTTAATTGTCCAGAGTAGCTTGATCAGTTTTGGCTTGGCAGAGGACTTCATTTTTCTTGTTTCCTCTACTGCCTTTTCACATTTTTCTGTGAAACATTTCTTTGTTTCTCATAAATACCTATGTTTCCTCAGCTTTTTGTTTTACCCTTTTCTCTATTATCTTCCACTGTTGGTCCACCATGAGGTTCTTTGAGTCCAAAGGTTTGAATTTATTCTTCAGCTCAAGTTGTAATTTGATTTTTACTTCAGGATTACAGGCTTTGTCTCTTTTTCACTTGATCGACTGTTTATATTCCAGTCAATAAAGGAGATGTAGAGTGCATGAGGAGGGACCTAAGCGATTCCTTCAGAAACTTGTTCATAGCCCATGAGTCAGGTCCCAAAAATCGACCTGATCGCAAGTGAAGGTTTGACTGTAAATTACAAAATTGTATGTTATTCTGAGTAAAAAAAACCTTATCTGCCATTCCAGAGCCGCTGCTTTCAAAAATGGCGGCTGATTTAAAGAATATTAGGTCAATAATTTGAGGATCGAAACGGGAAATCCATTGCGAAAAATGTGAGAAAAGTTTTTGTTTTTTTAACTTTTATATATGGGTTTTGACATGTAAAAAACAAAATTGCTAAAGCGGGCCACCAAGGGAGAACTTTTTACAGCCAAAAAGTCAGATTTTTTCAATATCTTTTGGGTTTTTCTTCTATAACTCCTAAACAATGCATCAAAGCGAAAAATGTATTCTTTAATAAATTAAAGAGCGTTAAATTTTGCATCAAACGAGTACATAAACTTTAAAATTTGGTTATGCAGTAAGGTAAGGTATAAAACCACGGTCAACCAACGTTGAGTTTTACCAAATTTGTCAAAAACTGATACAAATTACTATAAATGGCCCTGTAACTTGGAAATGAGTTCCCTAAGAGGAAAAACCCATAGAATCAAAGTTGTACAGCATCAAATTTTGCGTATACTGAGTACTGTCATTTTTATTGTTGGCCAATTGTATATCTCGAATTGGGATTCGTTATTCCTTTATAAAATTCGGTATCTTTCGGCACATCGTTTACCAAAATCTTTTGCTGTTGAGAGGTGGAAAAGAGGCTTATACTGCATGTAACAGACTGTAGAATAGACACCCCATACTGTAGAAATATTGAAAATCACGTTTACCTTCACTACCAATTTCTAACCATCGGGAGATTATCGATTTTGTTAGCAGCAAGTGACCTACATTAAATTAGTTGATACTGAGTATAGGCGAAATTTGATGCTCTACAACTTTGATTCTATGGGTTTTTCCTCTTAGGGAACTCATTTCCAAGTTACAGGGCCATTTATAGTAATTTGTCTCAGTTTTTGACAAATTTGGTAAAACTCAACATTGGTTGACCGTGGTTTTATACCTTACGGCTTAATAAAAATTTAAAGTTTATGTACTCGTTTGACACCGCTTAACCAAAATTTAAAGTTTATGTGGTTTTATACCTTACCGCTTAATCAAAATTTAAAGTTTATGTACTCGTTTGACACCGCTTAACCAAAATTTAAAGTTTATGTACTCGTTTGACACCGCTTAACCAAAATTTAAAGTTTATGTACTCGTTTGACGCAAAATTTAACGTTCTTTAATTTATTAAAGAATACATTTTTTGCTTTGATGCATTGTTTAGCAGTTATAGATGAAAAACCCAAAAAATATCAAAAAAATCTGACTTTTTTGGCTTCAAAAAAGTTTTCCCTAGGTGGCCTGCGTCAGCAATTTTGTTTTTTGACATGTCTAAACCCATATAGACAAGTTAAAAAATAGAAACTTTTCTCACATTTTTCACAATGGATTTCTCGTTTCGATCCTCAAATTATTGGCCTAATATTCTTTAAATCAGCCGCCATTTTTGAAAGCAGCGGCTCCGGAATGGCAGACAAGGTTTTTTTTACTCAGAATAACATACACTTTCGTAATTTACAATGAAATCTCCTTTGCCTGTGATCAGGTTGATTTTTAGGCCCTGGCTCCAGGGCTATCAGCTTGCTTAGGGTATGAACATATCAAAAGTCCTGAAGTATAGGTGGTGAGCCGGAGGTGAAGGGTGAAGGAGAGGTCACTATTTTTTGATGTTTTCCTATATCTCAAAAATGGTTCATCGCAGGAGAAATTTTTACATAATAAATTGAAGTTTATAAAATTATCTGAAACTTTTATTCTGTAGGTTTCATCTGAATTCAAAACTGCTTTCGAACTACAAGCTCGTAAAAAGAAGACATTTTTGAAATAAATCATTTTGCCTCACATCTTTCATCAAACATTCCTTCATGTTATTTTAAAATTTGTTATAAAATGTCATTTTCAGAAAAAGTTGTTTTTATCATATTCTTGACCTCCAAATTTTGTTTGTTTGTCTAATAATATGTGTGGCCACATTTTAAATCCAATTATTAAATAAAGTAGAAAAAATCATCTTACTTCAAAAATTTAATATTGTATTTTACAGATAATGAAAGTCTCATGATAATTTTATTCTATTTTGTTATGTATTCTATTAATACATGCAATTATAAACTTAATTGTTATCACTGCTCTCAATAACTTCTTAATATTACTCTCACAACTTTATTTGGATTTACGTTTTCATCCACTTTAGACATGTAGGTCTTGACAATGGTTGTTCATCTATGACATCTTAACCCTCAGTAGTGGTACATGGTGGGCCAGACCCTCCTACAGTGCACTCTCACCACATCCTAATAAATTGCCTATCGTTGTTTTTCTTGCAATTATTTTAAAAAAAAGAAGCCAATGGTACCACAAAAAAAAAGTGAACGCACTGTCTCAAAATGCCGTCCAACATGGCGGATTGACAACTTTGATTTAAGTTAGTTTTTCGTTCACTTTGATTCAGCATTTAGTTTAATTTCGTCATAATTGGCATTTTATTAAACTTGAATAGTCAGAGAATAATAAAATATGAACAATTATTAAAAAATAATTGGTTTAGGCAATAAAAGCACTAGTAAAGTCAATTTATTCAATTCGTTCAAACTAATGTTCGAACTAAAAATCAAGCATCGTTTGTAAATAAACGGCCTACATTAACGAAAAATTCCTTAAAATAAACTCCCCTTCAAAAGTATCGCAACACTTTGAAGTATTTGCGTTTTAAAAAAATATATGTTTTTTTTATAATAAAGAAATATTCTGAAGTCTATAATAAACATTTTTAAACTGAACATAAACAAGTTTTATTAAAATAAATTACAATATTTCTTCCAATTTTATTTGACTTTGTCAAACTAGGTTTAAGTTTTGAATCTCTGTCTTCTAATGACCGTTGAATCCGAGATTGATATCCCTCGAACACCAGCGAACAAGTTTTTAATGGAAGAAGCTGAAGAATTACGCTTCTGAAGTGTGTGCATTTTAATGAAATGGTCATCTATGGGATTAGTAATCCTGGGACCCCTGACGTCGGTCGCCTTGATTGACTACCAATCTCCCCACTTTAACCATCTTTACCTTTTTATGGTCTTTGAAACGGAAGAATAGTGAATTCCAAGGTGATTAGTACTGTAACGCAATGATTTGCCTTCTTGATTCTGACCGAACTATTGTGGCTTTAACGATTCATTGTGAATAAAATTAATTGTTACATCTAGACTAAAAAGAAAAGAGAGAAAAGATTTGAGGTAAACGAAAGATAAACATGGACTGAAAGAAACTTTGAAATGAATAAACCAAAATTCCACCGTTTTTTTGGTAAACAGTCAATAAAAATGATGTGTGTCTTATCCCTAATGTCGCTCATTGAATAAATAATATTACTGTAGATATAAACAAAGTATGGATTAATGTCAAAACCAAGAAAATTACGGGTGTTACAGTACTTTTGATGGAGAGTGTCCATTCCTCTTTACAAATCAGTGATTAATTTTTAAAACATTTGAAACAGTTCCTTAGAAAATGCACTTAATCGGCAGAAAAAGCGGTTCTTCTGTAAAGAGGCCTACTGTATTCTTTATCGGTACTTGTAAA